TTGTCCCAAGCCTTCCAGTGAACTCGGTTGTCCGTCCCAGAACCCCACCAATATCTATTCATCGTTCTTTCTATAGCCGTGCATACTGATATAGGTAGCAAAAAAACACTCATTGAGAAGGTAGGCATAGATTGTGCCACACTTTTCAACAGTATTTCTTTCCCTGCCTGAGACAATAGCCTTTTATTCCACGACCCAATTCTTTGGCGTATTTTATCCTCAATATATGCAAAAGCTGCCTTTTTATTCCTACCCACAAACGAAGGTAGACCCAAATACTTGCCAAAGTTTGGTGCCTGCTCCACCCCCAAAACTTGGGCCACACTTTCCCTATCCACATTACTCGTATTCCTGCTATAACAAATACTCGACTTGTGGTAGTTAACCACCTGTCCCGATAGATCCTCATATACAGTCAGGCATTTCTCTATCTCATTAGCCTCTTCCACATTAGCCTTAAAGAATAAAAGGCTATCGTCCGCAAAAAACAAATGAGAAATCTGAGGGGCACCTCTTGCTACCCTACATCCATGAATTAATCCCGCTCTGTTAGCCTGTTGTAGTAACAACGAGAGTCCATCTGCACAGATAATAAACAAATATGGGGATAGCGGGTCTCCCTGTCTCAAACCACGCGTGGGTATTATTGGGTCACTCCTTGAGCCATTTATCAGAATACTATAGGAGACTGTGGTCACACATTTCATAATCAAATCAACCCATCTATCATGGAAACCCAATGCCATCATCATATTACGGAGAAAAGGCCACTCCATTCGATCATACGCCTTAGCCATATCCAGCTTAAGTGCACCCCAGCCCCTCAATCCACACTGTTTTCGATTCAGAAAGTGCCCCACTTCTGCAGCTAATAGAATATTATCTGTTATCAATCTATCTGGGATAAAAGCACTCTGTGTCTCAGATATTATTCCTTCCATCAAAGGCTTCATTCTATTAGCCATCATTTTAGCTATTATTCTGTAAATGACATTGCTAAGTGCTATAGGGCGCAAATCAGTTACTAACTCTGGATTACTCTTTTTAGGGATCAACACAATATCTGTCTCATTCAAGCCAGACGGGAGGTCACCTGATTCAAGACAGTTTAGCACAAAACTCGCAACATCCCCTCCTACCACATCCCAGAAATGCTGATAAAAACCCGGATTCATTCCATCCGGTCCTGGTGCTTTATCCAGATACATTGCAAACAATGCATCCTTTACTTCCTCCAGATTAAATGGCCGTAATAGTGAGTCATTCTGCGCCTGTGATACCCTGGGTTCTATCCCCCCAAAAAAATCATCTCCAGTTCCCGGACCCCCAGAGCTGAAAATATTCTTAAAATAGTCCAGAATGATATCTCTCATGGGATCCCCCTCCAACCAATCCCCATTGTCATTCATTAATCTAAGTAAAGTATTCTTTTTCTTTCGGTGAGAGGCATACCTGTGAAAGAATTTGGTATTGGCGTCAGCTTCCTTGAGCCAGTGCTGCTTGGCTCTCTGCCTCCAGTATGCATCCTCCTGGGCCTCAGTGCGACTCAGAAGTTGCTCTATTCGCTGAAACTCGACAAGAGAGGCCGAGTCAGTGCATCCTCTCAAACGTTGTTGATCCCGTTTCAGCTGCACAATCTGTTTCCCATACTTATGGAACCGATCCCCACCCCATCGTGTTAACCGGTTTCCACAGTATTGAACACAACCCTGTAAACCCTGCCCTCTTCCTTCCTGCCACGCCTGCTCCACCACACCCCTACATCCCTCATCATATAACCATGCCATCTCAAACCTAAAACCCCTTCTTCTAACCCCATCCCTCCCTACCTCCTCCTGAACTGTGAAAAAAATGGTTGAATGATCTGACTTCCTGGTTCTCAAATTCATAACCTTTACATGGGGAATTATATTGCGCCACTCGTTCGTTACTAGGACCTTATCAAGTCTCTCCTCAATCTAGTTTGCAGTCCCTTTCCCCTTCTCCCAGGTATATGGGTATCCAATCATTGGCAACTGGGCCAATCCACAATCCTCAATCGTCTCCCCAAAACCTCGAAGAAGGCTATTCGGATGTGGATTTCCCCCTCTCTTCTCATACTGGTATAGCAAATCATTAAAATCCCCCACCACCACCCACGGGAGATTCGATTTTGCCGCCAACATTCTCAACAAATCCCATGATTCAGCACGCCTATTACGGTCCGAATAACCATAGTAACACGTCATTCTCCAGGCCGGATTACCTGTCATAGTTACCTCAATATCAACGTAGTTTCTTGAGTAACTAAGGAGTCTCGCCGTATTATTCTTCTTCCACAATAACGCTAATCCACCACTCAAACCATCATTGTCAACATAAAATAAGCCTTCGAAACCGATCGTAACACGAAGACGCTCAGCATGATCTCGCGCTACCTTAGTTTCTATTAGAAATACAAAGTCGGGTTGCTTTTTGGACACCATGTCCACCACCTCTCGAACTGTCCGTGGATTACCCAAGCCACGGCAGTTCCAACTCAGCGTACTCATTAGCGTCGCCAAACAGTGATGATCACCGGAAAAAAACGTAGGAAACCGTCGGAAACCTAGCAAACCCTAGAGAGAAAAAAATAGGAGCGGCAAATGGGTTGAATATGAATTGTAGTTTTTTTTTTTTTTTTTTTTTTTTTGGGTGAAGAAATATGAATTGTAGTTAGTACTTAGTATTGAGAGAAGTAGAGAACATCCTTTGTAAGAATAAATGCTAATGATAATATAATAAGTGGACAATTAAGTTAGTATTGTCATTAAGATTTATAGAATTTTAAGGGATGGTAGTGTAAGATACATGTTTGAGAGTACTCGTCATATTTGGGGTGGAGGGAGGTTAGCAGGCTGCTAATTTTCTTTACTTTAACTTTATAATTTTTTGATCTTATTAGGACAGCTCCTCGGTTTCAATTAAGAGTGATATTCCAATTTGTTATTGTTATAAATGTTTGGCATTATCCATTGTGGTTTTTTCTTTTTTCTTTTGTAGTACCCAAAAAAAAAAAATTGATTCTATAATTTTGACTACAAATAAACACTATATCTGAATATTTAAATTTTTTTTTCACCACATAAGAAGTGTCAAATTGGCAAGTTCGATTTTTCAGGTTTCCAATTGTTAGTAAAGAGTGAAAATGTGAGTCAAAGAAAAATGAGTGTTTGGTCAAAGAAAAAAAATCCTTACTTTTCTTGAAAAAATGACTTCTTCTCTTTTTTGAGAAATTCATTTTTTAATTTCTACACTACCACCACCACCACCTCTGTCACTACTACCACCACCTCTGTCACTACTACCACCACCATCATCACCATCACTACCATTACCACTATTATTACCACCACCACCGCTGCCACCACCACTACCATACTGCCACCACCACAGAGTTTTCGGCATAGCCAATATATCAAAGATCAACAAAGGCTTGGACCCGTTTCAACAGACATAGCTATCAAGTCGTTGTGGGGAGCGAGACAAATTATTATGTGGACCATGAATGCAATATACATTTTTAGTATACTAAATATACATTATTTGTATACTGAAGATACATTATTTGATAATATATAAAAAATCAGGTACTTTCAAATACCACCACCACCGCTGCCACTACCACTACCATACTGCCACCACCACAGAGTTTTCGGCATAGCCAATATATCAAACATCAACAAAGGCTTGGACTCGTTTCAACAGACATAGCTATCAAGTCGTTGTGGGGAGCGAGACAAATTATTATGTGGACTATGAATGCAATATACATTTTTAGTATACTAAATATACATTATTTGTATACTGAATGTACATTATTTGATAATATATAAAAAATAGGTACTTTCAAATAATGTACTTTTAGTATATTAAAAATGTACTTTTTATTTATGATTCAGACAAATATGTGACTATGATCCATATACTTTCTCAACCTAAAGAACCAATAACGCTTCCGCTGAGACTTAACCTCACAGTCTTCCAAATGAAAGTCCAACCCAAGTACCATTAGACCACATATTCTTGGTAGAACTTATTGTTATTTAATATAAAAAGAAAGTATTTCTCTATTTAAATATGTAATGAATGGATATGATTAAAACAAATAGATAATATAAAACAATATATTAAAACATTCAATCTTTAATCTATTTTCTAACATATTTTAAAATACACAAAAATTAAATCCAAATATTGCTACTTTATTATGAGATGCTAAATCATAAATGTGATATGTATATATATAGTAATAATCAAATGAGACAACATCACGTGAGACCTTCATAAATGCACACAAACTACTACACGAATGCAATCATATTAGATTATGTGCAATTCGCCCAACATGAAATCATGAATGCACACAAGCTACTATGTGTGCATTTATAATGGGTCTCACGGAAATAGATGGATGCACTTGAATATTAGTCTATATATATTAGACTTTAAATTGCAATACATATCAATATTTAATTTTTTTTTTTGAAAGTTACTGGCTCTATTACATTGTAGTATCTGTTCATATACTTTCTCAACCTACTGAAACACAAAGAACCAATAACGCCTCCACTGAGGCTTGAACTCATAATCTTCCAAATGGAAGTCCAACCCGGATACCATTAGACCACATAGTCCTGGTATTTAAATTTAAATATATACATTTATAAAATTGTCATTTTTATGTTTTTTTTACACTTATCATTTTATTTAACTGATAATTTTACCAAACACCTTAATTTCAATTATTCAGCTTATTAATTACTAATTTTTCAACTATAGCTATTAGCTTTTCAGCTTTTAACTAATAACTTGTAAATTATGTATGCCAAACAGAGCCATTATAGTCTTTCTTTTGTAGTACCCAATTTTATTTTATTTTTTAATGTTAGATAATTGATTCTAAAATTTTGACTACAAATAAACACTATATCTAAATATTTAATTTTTTTTTTCACAACATAAGAACTATCAAATTTGCAAGTTCGAGTTTTCATTTCTTTAATAAAAAAGTCAATCCCCATCAATAGCAGGCTGGACTGATAGTGAAGGCTCATCGGGTTAGCCCAACATTGAATGCAAAAATTCAAGTCAGGCCCGTCTACTTCCTCATCACTTCCATGGTTTTTACACTACACACCAAAGCTATCCTGATTCCCTGAAGCAAGGAGCAAATGCCTGCTAATTTGCAGAGTTTCTATCTCTTCCTCTACAATTCTCTTCAGGCCTTTGGATGGTAATTCTTCTGCCCCTTCTCTTTCGACTTACATGCTGTTAAGCATTGGTTTAACTCCATATATGCAGGGCAGTTTCACTATGGAGACTCTTGATCAGCTTCATTTCCACTGGGTCAATCAGTGGGGCTTACGCTTCAGCTGGAGAGCTGATTTGTATGTACTGAACCATTTGCTTTTCTGTAAATTATTGTAGACCTGTCTGTGCATTTATCTGATTTATGTTTATGTGTTTTTTGTTCGAGGCTAAGGTTTTCTGCAAAGTCTGGCATTCTTGGAAGTCTTACATGGCGCTATAGGTGAAATTGCGATATGGGTTTTCACTTTTCTGCATTATATAATGGCATTGTGTAGTTAATTGCTGATTGTGAGTTGAAATTTTTGAGCTTTGATTAAGGGATTGTTCCTAGTGGAGTGCTACTCCCTTTGATGCAGTGGGGTGGGAGAACTCATTTTTTACTTGCTATTGTTCGCTCAATCAGTGAGGTTTGCATCCTATATTACTTCTCTAAATTAAACTTTTATTAATCAATACTGTCCTGGATGTTGGGAAACCTTGTACATTGTAGCTGTTTGTTTTGTTGAGAAAAGTCCCAATGGATGCAATTGCTTCAAAATTTGTTAATGTCATATGTTGTTTCAATTGAAGCATGTGCTCCATCTCAACTAAAAGCCTAAGCTGATAGTTGGATTGCACGTTAATGGTTATATGCTCAACATGCCCCTCACGGTGGGTTCTAAGCAACACATGGACCGTAGTCGCTTATTGGGCTGATACCAAATTGAAGCATGTGCTCCATCTCAACTAAAAGCCTAAGCTGATAAGTTGGATTGCACGTTAATAGTTATATGCTCAACAGTTTCGTCTCCGGGTATGAATTATTTTACTGGAAATATCTGTTAACATAGTTTTGCTGCTGCTTATTATAGGTCCAGGAATTGCCAGCAGTTTTCATAACGTTTTCTGCTTGGAGCATATCTGAAGTTTGTTGCCTTCCTCCCTTAAACATTCAGTTGAACTATTCGTTTTAATCGTATGAATCCCAAATCTTGGTTGGTATCTCTTGTGATTATGACATTGTGTTGTTTGATGCAGGTGATTAGATATTCACATTATGCCTTGAATTGCTTTAGCTCTGCTCCACATTGGGTCACTTACCTCAGGTTTGATTTTTTTTTTTTTTTTGTACTTGAAAGAATAGGAGTAGTGATCGAGTAGCAGAGGCCGAAGATTGTATGATTGGAAGGTGTTGTATGATTTTATCGTGATCAGGTACACTGCTTTTATCGTGCTGTATCCAATTGGAGTCGGTCCTGGCGAAAGTAAGCTAATAATTAAGCTGGTGGCATGTTAAATCTGGGTATAAGAGATGTGGATAATCCATTTGATTTGTTCTAAACTTGCAAAGATTATGTTGTTGTGTAGTGTGGCTCATGTACCAGGCACTTCCGGTTATAAAAGAGAGAAACCTATACGCAGATCGCCTCCCTTTCAGCTATTATAACTTTGTTTTGGTATGTTTAACACAGACGACTTTTCTTGGCTTCATTTTCTACAATCTAATTAGATATTATGGAGGAATGATTCAGTATAATTAAAGTGTTGATTTATGTAAATTCAGGTGGTGCTTATCTTATACCCAGTTTTGTGGCTGAAACTTTACCTGCACTTGTTTAAGCAACGTTGTTCAAAATTGGGTAAACGTCAGAAGACCAAAAGAGGTTGAAGGGGAATTGAAGCTGCAAATTTGCAAATTAAGTAACCCCAATGTAGCCTTGTGTGTGTGTTTTCCAGGCTATCTTCCCCTCTAGTCTCATGTGTAGTAATTCAGATTTCAGACAATTAAACAGGATGTAATCAATGGAAACCTATTTCTAGATGACCGACAACTAGATGAACAAGTTAATTTTAATTTAATTGCATAATTTTAGATTATTCATGAAGTTTTTTTTTTTTTTTTTTTTTTTTTTTTTTTTTTTTTTTTTTTTTGAGTTAGATGACTCAATTATATGTTGTGTGTAGTTCCTTGACCTATTTGAACATTATTCATTTAATTTATTGCACAAAGTAAAACGGGAATTAAAAAGAAAAGAATCTGAGAAAAATTAAGAGGATTATGCTCTGGGGTCCTTTTCTCCTTTAGTTTCATAAGATGTAGGGTCATTTGATCTCATACGATAAAGTTAATTAATCGGAGTGGTTATGCTTAAGTATGATACGATGACTATGGAAAAAGATAATGAAAAGTCAACAATTGATTCCAAACATGAAAGAAGACACAATTTTACATGCTTTTACAGTGGAGGGAGGCAAAGCCAAGAAGCTTGAAACAAACTTTGGGGAATCAAAAGAAAAGACAACAAAAGACCAACATCCTCGAACCCCTTAGGATCCGGCACACAATGATACAGAGATGAAATCCTTAGTAATCTGTGGTGGGGAGTTGTTCGTGAGTGTTCTGGCAAATGAAGATGACTTGGTAGACCAATGCGGCGATGCCGGCACCCAGGAATGGGCCCAGCCAGTAAACCCAGTGGCACTCCCAGCTCCAGCTCACCACGGCGGGGCCGAACGACACCGCGGGGTTCATAGATGCACCGTCGAACGCCCCGCCGGCCAGAATGTTGGCACCCACTATGAAACCAATGGCGATCGGGGCAATGATCCCAATGTTGCCCTTCTTCGGGTCAACCGCGGTGGCGTACACCGTGTAAACCAGCCCGAATGTCATCACTATCTCGAAAACCACCGCGTTCCACGGCGCCACTCCGGCTGACAGCCCAAATGCTGGTGTTTCCTGCATGCCATAATAAAATCGTGTCATAATATATCACATAGTAATTGATTTTGGTTCAGAGAGTCGAGTCTAATATTCTGTTATGCTTAGTTTGATTCTGATACCAATTGTGTTCTGATACTGATTGTCAAATATATAAAAGATTGCTTACCAATCCACCGGTGGCAAACTTGAGAAGCAAGCAAGCAACGACAGAGCCGAGCAATTGGGCAATCCAATACAGAACACTTCTGAAGAGGGTGATGTGACCGCCGACGAAGGCGCCAAATGTGACAGCAGGGTTGACGTGACCACCGGAAATGTTGGCGCCGACGGAAACCGCCACGAAGAGTGCAAAAGCGTGGGCTATTGCCGCAGAAATGAGTCCGGCGGGGGTGGCGGCTCCATTATCTGTCAGCTTATCTGTCGGAAAATCGAACAAACAATTTGCATTGTCAGAAACAACGAAACTACGGACGCGACGAACCGATAAACTAACGAGTAACTAACAAAGCGCTTACTGAAAGCCATGCCGGAGCCGGAGCCGGCGAAGACGAATATGAGCATGGAAATGAACTCCGCCACGGCGGCCTTGAGAGCATCCGGCTGGGTAGCCTCGCCCACGCTTCCAATAGCGATTCTCGGAACTGCCATTTCTAGAAATTTACAAAATTTCTTAATTAAACTCTAAACAGAGAACACTAATTTAGTCGTAGTTGCACTACTGCCCTGTTCTTCCTCGTATTCATGGGCACATATTTATAGTACCCAAAGGTAGGAGCCACTTGTTATTGCCTGGTTGGCGAGCCTCTAATTTTCTACGACACGGCCACGTGGCAGTGAACATGATGATAGGCATCCACCATGGATGCGATGATATATGAAAAGTGAAACCGGTAAAAAATAAAATAGCAAAATTATGGGGCCCATCCTCTCAATGATTGCTCACAAATTTAATTTAATCGACCGACCAGTCGACCACCTTATGGTGAGGTATGTCTAATAGAGAGTTCTCTCACAGTTACTGTTTTATCTTACTTACATGAGGACTGCACTTCGGGTGAAGAGTGTCTTATGGCTCTAATTGGCAAAAAACTATAAGAAAGTAATCCGTTAAAATTGTCTATATCTAATTAACTGATTCAAACTAAAAAGGTCAATTAGCATCTTTATGAGGAGCCGAACTTAGAACCTTGTGCATGGTTATAAAACTAACGGTCAGATCATCCCGTTGAGGTTGCCTAGAAATTATTCTGAGTGTTATTAGATCTACAAAACAATTGAGTAATTTAATTATAGATCGATTTCCATGTAACTCTACATGTTTATTTAAAGTAAAGAACAAAGGTAGGTGCAGGCAAGAAAACCATAGCCACAACATTTTGTTTGTTTAAAAGAGTGAGGGAAGATGGTGGCTAATGAAAACTTTAAAAAATCTAGGTGGTGATGTGTCATTACTTAATCACAATTTAACAACGATAATTGAGTTGTTAGTGGCAAATAAAATATTGAGAGTGCACCGTGGCAGATAGTGGACTTGGTGCTACACCACTAATAATATACACAAATTTATTTAAAAAATTAAAAAGTGATTAGCAAACTAATCCCTCAACAATATATCCAATGCACTTTTTGCCCAAGAAGCAAATATGTCAAAAATTAAGGGAATTTTTTATGTTGTTTTATAGTATCATTAATTAAATTGTAATCAGCTCAGTAGTTGGACATGTTTTGTTTATGTTATCTGTTTACTAATTAAATTGCTTTGGACGGCTAAAGGGACAAATTTCCTTTTTGTTTACAATGTACAGATAACAGATCAGTTCTGTTTTCCTTGCTTAGACTTTTTCTACAGAGAATATCATACGTTTCAGCTTAACCTTCTTACAAACTAACCAGCCAAAATTTCCAGTTTTGGAAAGAAATGTGAAAACCTTAATTGTGAATCCCCACACCCCGCTCGATAGATGTAAATCACGGTAACCCAATAACTTCTCAAAAAGTTGAATCCCCAACCCGAATGTAAATCAATGATTCAGCAAACAAGGTCAAATGTCAATGCGCACAAGAGATCTGTTTACTTTGTGGTCTCTTCTCCTAAATACAACCCATTGAACCATTGATCTAATCCCATACACGCTACTATTTGACATCCTTAATTGGATGGATAGGTGTTAGGCGCAAATTATGTTGTGCAACCATGTTGCAAAAACAACGTCGTTTTGACTAAAAACGCGCGTCCCACTTTAAAAATAAAAAATAAAAAAATTCAGGTTCGATTCCTGGCAATAGCATTTTTTTGTGCATAATTTGAATTATATATCCACAAATTCATAACTATATATCCATAGTGAATGAAACACAAAATCCAGAATGAATGAACTAAATATGCACAATGAATTAATTAAATATCCACAATGAATGAACTAAATATCCACAATGAATTAATTAAATATCCATAAATTCATACTATATATCCACAACTTTTATAACTATATATCCACAAATTCATAACTATATATCCACAATAATACTGTTGAGGGGAATCAAAACTGAATATTTTTTTAAACTGGGACGCGCATTTTTAAATAAAACGACTTCCACAGCATAACTACCGGGTGTTAGGTGTTGAGCTGTTGTAGGCCCATTAATAATGTTGGATAAGTGTGAAAAAAAATGTAGTGTTGTGTTAGGTTAATTCTGATGGGCTTCTTGGACCATACTTAACTATTGACTAAGTTTGGGCCAAGAGTATTTTAATCACCCAAGTAATATGAACAGAAATGACCCATAATCAATGGCGATAGAGCATGGTGCAATTGTTATACCATGGAGGCATGGACTAGGTTCATATTGTATTGTGAATTCTGATACAAAAATTTTGTACCTTCAGTTAACATATTCTATATTTAAAGTTAGCTATTTCTGTACATGTAAACAAATAACTTGATAATTGCTGACACATAATATGATAGCTACAAGTATAGAAACTATCAACTGCAGGTACAGAATGTGTCAACTATAGATACCGAATCTGACTTGATAATTGCTGACACATAATATGATAGCTACAGGTACAAAAACTATCAATTGTAAATACAAAATGTGTCAACTATATAGATACAGAATGTGAATGTTATTTTTGGACCAGAATCTACAATGCAAGATAGACCCTAGTCCACGGTATAATTTACCAGCATGGTGAGTTGTTAGGTACTACTAATCTACACTTCAACATATGGAATAATACAACAAAAAAACTCGTACTGAACTATGTCCCTTGCGAGAAGGTATAGTGAAAGTCTGAAATGGTCACTCTCACTTAGCTTTTACGTTGTTCGTCGGTCAATGCAGTCTTTATCTCAATGTGAATCTTGCATTGACTATGGTGCATCGTATCATGCGGTGCTACAAGTCCAAGAAAAAAAAAAAAAAACTAAATATTTCAAAAAACATCGTTAACAAGATGTTTGGTCTCTTCTCATAATAAAATGGACCAAAAATAAATAAAATGAAGTCTATAGATGTTTGTAATGATTAATTTAATGATGAGGGCAAGTGCTTTGCCATAAAAAAAAGTACTCCCTAATTATTTGACTAATTACTAATCTAGAAACATTTTGATTAAAGGCCTTTATATTTGACTTTGCCTGACTACTTACAACATATAATATAAAGTTATATAGAAATATATTAGGGTACATAGAAGTGCTATCGAATTTTGTAAATAATTATAATAGAATATTCTATTTTCTTCTTCTTCTTCTCCTGTAGTTGTTCCTCTAAATGGATTCCAACTTCTGACTTGTTCTAATATTAATAGTAAAAAATCAGTGTCTATCACTATGTCAAAAGTTATAACTAATAATAAAAGTGCAACTTTATTTTCTTATACTTGCATATTAATGATCAAATTAAATTAAAAATCAACGTATATCACTACATTAAACGCTATAGTTAGTATCGAATGTGTAATTTTATTTTCTTATACTTACATAGTAGCCAGCTTCACGTTTCGATTGCAGGATGTTAGACTCGGTACTCTAAGGCTCTGCCTAACTTGATTAATTTCTATTTTTTTTCCTATACAATCCATATTTTTTCAAGTAAGTATACTTTTCAACCCTTTTCCCACAACTTTTTGTTAGGTGGCATTGTAGTTCAAGTGGGGCACATGAAAAGGAAAGCTAAACCCTAAACCGCGTTATATATATATTTCTCCCCCACATAGTCCAATCTTTTATCCTTTTTTGATTAATTAAGACTCTTTTCTTCATACAAAAGTCATCATTTTATCCTACAAATCAAAAAATTTTCTTCATTTTTTATGCCGCCATACAACTACTCATACACCAAACTCCCCCCAAGTATCATTCATTTCAACACGTACTCTACCATGCATTAATTCCTTTCATTCCTTATAATAATGCAAGTAGAAGATTAATCTATATAGTATGTGTACGTACTTTTCAACTTGACAGTGTAAAAATATATATCTTTTTCACTAATGGCAGTCTAATTGGATTGAATTGGTATTTCGTTGATCGCAGTCTAATTGGAATTATATATGTCGGAGATCGAAGCCGGTCTATTTAGGTTAGGTTGGAGACCTTTAATTTGTACTATGACAACGTGTCGGGGGACATATATGTATGTGCAGTCGCTTTAATTTTAATTTGCTTAGCTTAATCATGGGATAACCTCACCTTGTACAATTTAAGTATAATTTTAATTTGCTTAGCTTAATCATGGGATAACCTCACCTTGTACAATTTAAGTACTAAGAAGTAAGAAATACAGTTAGTTTTTTTTTTTTTTTTTTTTTTTTTTTTTTTTTTTTGAAAACCAACGAAAACCACTTGTATTAATAAACACCAGAATTGTTACATAGGGGAACAGATACAAAACGAGGAATATAGTCTAAATACTCCACTCTATCCTCCCCTACACAATTTAGAGCTCGTTTAGCTAAATAATGAGACACCATAACATGTTGGCGACGGACATATATAGCGAAAGGTTACCATAAGCAACTGATGTAAGAATTCACGAATCTCGTCCACAATTAAGCCAAAAGGTGAGATGTTGACTCCCCCGCCACCGCCGTTGTGACTAATTGAGCATCAGTTTCAAGGATTACCCTCTCCCAATCCCTATTCTTTATCCAACTAAGCACCTCCCTTGCTCCCATTGAAGTAAGAAATACAGTTAAGAGCTAATATATCGTAATTAGGGGCTAAGAAATACAGAATTTTACTTTCACCGTTTATAAATGAGTTAATATCAGTTAGGGTTCTCCGAATATAATGGCAACATCACGTTTATGACCTTTATGTCAGGCTACGAACAAACTACGTTAAACCCGAGAAGCAATCTTGTAGTTCTTTAATTTAGGTAAAGTGGTTCCGATCAAATTTATCATATCTGCTATAATCTAAAATTATAAGTTGATGTTACTTAATAATTGAATCTTAAGGCTCAAAACCTTAGTATTATAAGAACATGTATATGTGATATTGAGTTAAAATTCTCGTGTAAAAAATAGTACTCCGTAATTAGTACATGCATTAGTAGTATTTATGTATGTAGTCCTTGTCTCCTTTGATCTTTACGAATCCAATAATGACCCAGATAATTATGGTTCCTCTCTTCTTTTTTTTTTTAGGTTGAAATGAAATATATTCGCACTTAAATCATCTTTTTTTTTTTTTTTTTTCGCACTTCAATCTTTTTTTTTTTTAAATTTTTGAAAGACCACTTCAATCATTTCATGCAACTAAAAGGTTAAGAACATCACTAATTGGTACACAATTAATTAAATTTTTTTGAGTTAAACTATGAGGTGTCTTGAGCAGATCCTAACTGTAGGAGACACCTTTAAGCCTGTACCCTAATGCTCATTCGCATCGGGCCAGCCCAATTAAGGGGCAAAGTGCTGGTTATATTGATTTTTTCATCATACGAGAGAGATTTTGAACTCCCGACCTCTCTTAAGTAATGAGAGTGCACAGTCACTCACGCCAACAAAACTGATCTACACAATTAATATTCGTGGCACCTTTAAAATACTTTCATCATTTTTCTCTAACAAATATTGGATGTAAGACAATTTTGTTGGACTCATAGAACTCATAAAGTAAACACTACGATCTGTACTTGAGCAGATCAGAATGGACCATACGACTAGCATGCAACCCACAAGGTATACTTTAGTCATGATGGTTATACCTACTGTAGCTAGCCAAGCTAGTATATGAATGTACATTTGTCATCTCCGTTTGAAATTTGTTTTGGTCGTGGACCAATGAAAATGTTCCCTTACAACTCAAGCAAGTTTCGTATAAAGACCGGATCATTAATATTTCAACGTCCTACTATATATTTCACTATCATATCCTTAATTATAACCCTACCCCTTCCTTTGCTTCTCCTCACATGCCCGCAAGTTAATGACCAAACATCATATCAATCTAGAAAGTGTTTATGGCAAATCTAGTGACCAACGAACTTTCTAAAGGAATATAATCATCTTCTCAAAACTATGGTTTTTATCTATGAAAATTTCCTCAACCATTCTAACAAATTCGATCCGTCCGACTTTTAACATTTTCTTTTTAATAATTATTAGGTTTAGTACTTGACTAAGCTAGATATATTGATTTTGGTAGCAAAAATATTTGAAGCTAAAACTGAAAGTATTCACATAAATTTTGGACCGGAAGGAGTATAATTGTACTTCTAGTTTTGGCTAGTACTATTGTTGGTATGATGATTTTGGTGCTTCACATATGATTAATACTGGTGGGGTTGACAGGTAAAGTCGTTACTTGTTAATTAGGAAGCAAAAGGAGGTAAAGTAGAGGTTGGTCTTTGCTTTTTAAGACCGTTAATTTGGTTGGCTCGAAAAGCCATTTTAAAGAAAATAAATTAAAATTATAAACAAAAATTAGAAAAGTTGGAACAGCATAAGTATTGGTTAGGCTAGGAAGCTTTAATTTTGAATTGGTCAATTTGGTCTTTTACGTAATAAGTTAAAGGTTAAAATTTGTGTGAGATCATCTCATGAATCACGGATCTGGATTTGAATCCGTGAGATGAGTCGGTTAAGATTAAATGTAATATTTGTACTAGTAAATGTAATACTTCGTACTAATTAGGAATAAAATGTTTGTTACTTATAAGGAATACATAATACTTTTAAATTTTGATGTAAAAGTATTACTTTTTTTCATCAAAAGTATTATATTTCATTATAAGTAATAATATTGCACTTATAAAGGAAAATGTAATACTTTTATATCAAAATGTAAAAGTATTACATTTTTCATATAAGTAATAAACATTTTATTCCCAATTTAATATTACATTTCATCTTGACCTGACCCGACTCACGGAGAAAGATCCATAAACAGTCTCACGCAAGTTTTTGCCTTATATTTGGAGAGTCGAGTCCAGTATCTTGCCATCAAAACGTGAGATTGACCACTACACAAGTATTAAAAAAAAAATTAAAGGTGTACATTCACTATTAGTTATAATTTTTAGCATAGTAATAAGTGCGTAATCATGTAAAAAAGAACTAACTTTGGCATGGTAATAAGTGCGCGCGTAATCTTGTTAAAAAAAAAAAAAGAAGAAAAAAGACTAAGTTTCGGTATAGTAATAAGCGCATGATCTTGTCAAAAAGAGCTAAATCGATGCTTTGATTATCTTCACGAACCGTGTATGTATGAGTAATATTAGCCCTTAGGGTTGGGGTTCAGCCTTTTGGAATAATGAGTAATATTAGTGATCCTCCCAAATGCTCTGTCGGGCCGGGGTGTGGGGGGCCCTTAGGGTTGGAAGAATGAGTAATATTAGTGTTGGGGTTCTGCCTTTTGGAAGAATGAGTAATATTAGTGTGGAAAGAATGAGTAATATTAGTGTGGAAAGAATGAGTAATATTAGTGCGGTGCAAAAATGAACAATAATTGCAAAAGAATAATTCACACTGTACTACTAAATGCTTAACCGTACAGGAATTAGGATAATGTTAGATGCAATATATATAAATTTGGTAACAAATATATACTTGTTACAATTGTCAATTTTGTGGTCTAGTGACAGATAATCAGTAATACCCAAAAAAAATACTTATCACAGTTTACTTTTAAAATACAATATTTTTTTTTATATATACATTTGTGTATCCTATTCTATTAATTATGGTAAAAACAGATAATTATTTTCGTGGTAATAGATTTCGTCTTTTGTGGATAATAATTGAGAGAAAAATAATTAATTGTTTATTCTTACTAAATGAAATAATTAAAGAAATTTTAATAGGATTCACACATTGACTGTAGGAGGAAGAAAGAGAAGTGCACCATATATACACAGTACTCATATTCATAATATAGAGAGAGAGAGGAGTATGTTTATTATAGTAAGAAGAGAGAATTCGGCGCTGAATGAGTGCAAAATTTCCATATGAAGAAAACGAAATTACAAAAATATTAAAAAACACATGTCAAATCCTTTGACTTTCCATGAAGAAGAGAGGATTGGGTGTTGCCTTAGCTTGTTGTGACCTGTAACTCCATTCTATTCTATAAAACACTACTCACTGCAAACCCTTCACAGATCTCCCTTCAATTCCCTCACAAGAAGATCTCTCCAAAGATTTCTTCCTCCAAAACTCAGCTATTTAGGACTATTGTACTATAAACTGAGAAAATGGAGGAAATAGCTTCATTATGGAACTATGAAGAGGTACGTACGGTTTGTGTCGATTCATCTGCCTTTCCATTATGATATGATGTTTCTTTATGTTGTTTGTACGTACGTGTGTATCTATCTGTTGTTTCGTATGACAGGATTGGATATGATGTTTCTTAATGTGCATGTTGTTTTATATGACATACAGTTTTTATTTGTCTGTGAAATAGAGAGTTTTTGGTGGGGGAGGAGATCAAGGGAACTCCATCAATATATATCAATAATTCTGAGTAATATATAGTAAATTTAGGTTTTTGTGTGTTTGGTGAAACTACTGTCACAATTCTATTTCTCCAAATTAAGAAGGAACATGTTGCTGTCAGCAAGAACACATTTTGGAGAAATTTGGGTTTGGGTGAGGATGAATTCGGTAACCACTATTTGAAGGTGTACATTCGGTAAAATCCCATCTTCTGATCTTAATTGATAAATGATCATAATGAGGTAAATTAGTTTAGGTGGTCATAAGCCAGTGACTCAAACTAATAAAGTCAATAAGTTGCTCCTACTAACAGTCTAATAAATTTGACTGGAAATGGAGAAATTTTGTTAGATGTTGGTGAAGAGTAGTGGATTTTCAAGAATTGATATTTATCCTTTCCGGGCCCATTGTGCCACTTTATTCATTAATCTAGGTAAGCCATGGAATCATTTTACTAAATTTTCCAACTTAGAATCTTAACATTTGACTGACATTTATAATGATTCTGTTCATGCAAATGATTAGGAACCAGTCAACTAATTGCATTGAAATAAGGCTTTAATTAAAGCTAGTGATCATATCATATCATATCCTTCACAATTATAATAATTCTCTGCTAAAATTTCCATTTACAGTAGCCTAGATATAAATATAAATTGAATAAAAACTTAATTGTATCATTTTGGTGATCAGCTGCAGGCTATTGATGAATTGAAGCAAAGGCTTTTGTGCACTAATCTTGAACTGGAACAGTTGAAGGTTGAAACGTGCGAGGAAACAAGAAAGAGCAATGAATATGTGAAGCAACTGATTCATCTTGTGAAGATAGCTTTCAGGGAAAGAGATGAAGCTCGAGATCAGCTTCAGAAGCTGATGATGAATAATGTGAATTATCCCATAATAACCGCCAATTCATGCATTACAGAATCCAACAGTTTCTCTGAAACCTTCAATAATAATAATAATAATAATAATCACCACTCTCACGGCTCTTCCCCGGCGGCGGCCGAGTCGACCTTCTTGAAAGTGGGTTCCTCCCCGGAACTCTCGAATCTTGATTATAACGCCGCCATGGCGGCGGCGGCGGCGGATGTGAAAATCGAGAGTCTTGTGAAGGGAAAGCCTTTGCCGGAGAAAGGGAAGTTTCTGCAGGCCGTTCTTGAAGCGCCGCCGCTCCTCCAGACGCTTGTTGTGGCGGCGCCACTCCCTCGGTGGCGCAATCCGCCGCAGCTTAAATCCTTCCACATCCCACCGGTTTCCATCAGAGGCGGCGAATCTGAGATTTCACACCCACACCCGTACTTTGAGATGTCGACAAATACTATGTTAAATAATGTCGGGAATTTTCCTTCTGCGACTCTTCTTGGTAGCCAGATGATGATATCTGCAGGTAATTATGGGCATCCAGGGAAGCGGCAAAGATTCATGTGAAGAATTTGAATGATGGGTCCACACTGATTTTGTATAAAAGACATTATATTGATTCAGAACTTGAATAACATTATATTATTTTCTTGATTTTATCAAATACAGTTCAGGTTTTTAGAGAATATATTCAGGTTAGGGATTACATACGAAACTTGATCCATTTTTGGTCAATATGGTAATAGTCTTTTTACATCATTTTCCATTATTAGCATATTTTAGTCCCTTAAGATCAGTGATCTGAGTAAAAGATGGATTTTTTTTTTCCTAATTGCCAATGAAACTTTGGTCTAATTCTGGAGTTGCCGTTTGTCCTAGGGAATCTGGATAGCCAATAACAGCTATTTAATTACCACGTAATTTGTGGTAATCTTTGGTTTAAGAAGGCTATAAAAATTTTTATGTGTCATTTTTCAGAATTTCAAAACTATCCATATGAGTTCTTGCCTCCAAGCATTAAAGAATGTGCAGTTTGCATGAGAGAATTTTTTTGATTAGACCACAATCTGAGGTCGATTCAATAAAGGGGCAAAGTACGAACTATATTGATTTTTCAATACAAGAGATGATTTGAACTCTCAATCTCTCTTAAGGGACGAGAGTGCACGGTCACTCATACCAATTAAGCTGGTATATATAAAGCTACAAAACAGTTGTATGAGTGAATTTGAGGTTGGTATTTGGTAATGAGGGTGAAAATGGTTTACAAAGTAGTTTTAGATATAAAGTTGAACTTATTACTCCGTCAACGATTGTGGCTGTAGTTTAGTGGTAAGAATTCCACGTTGTGGCCGTGGAGACCTGGGCTCGAATCCCAGCAGCCACAGATTCTTTCGATCCACCTTTTAAATTGTCCAAATCTACCCCGCAAAAAACGTGTTGGATATTTTTAAACTCTGCCTAATTTTGTGGATTGGGCTCAAAATTACTTTCACAATTTGTAAACCCAATCTTTTCTGCCCAAATCTATCTCGCAAAAATATGTTTTGAGGGAATTCATTGGACATTTTAAAATTCGGCCCAATTTTGTAAATTGGGCTCAGAATTACTTTCACAATTTGTAAACCCAATATGTTATCCAAACACATGGTAAATTTCGGCAAATTATGCTGTGCATGGTGCACATGGTTGCAAAAATGACATCGTTTTGACTAAAAATGCGCGTTTAACTTTTAAAAAAAAAATCAATTTTGATTTCCGACAAAAACATTATGTTGTGCATAATTTGAACTATATATCCAGAATGAATGAACTAAAAATCCAAAATAAATGAACTAAAAATCCAGAATGAATGAACTAAATATCCAGAATGAATGAACTATATAGTTCAAATTATGCACTGACGGGAATCGGAACTAATTTTTTTTAAGTGGGACGCGCGTTTTTTGTCAAAATGACATCGTTTTTGCAAACGTGTGCACTATGCATGGTGCACACGACTGCACAGCATAACGATTGGTAAATTTCTCTATGGATCATCATTCACACAGTTGTGTGGACTATGAATACAAAGTACATTTTTAAATATATTACTTTTTCAACCTGTTGAAGCATAAAGAGTTAACACTGCCTTTATTGATACTCGATCTCATGACCTCTCATATAAGAGAGTCACTGCATGCCATCTGAGCACAAAATGCTTGGCAAAAATATATTATTTGATTGTATATAAAATAATTTACTGTCAATAATCAAATAATGTATTTTCATGAATGCAAGATACATTTTTAATATACTAAAAGTACATTATTTATGTATTGAATGTACATTTTTTATAGTATACAAAATAATGTAGTTTCAGTACTTGAATAATATACTTTATGTATATAAATAATATACTTTTTATTTGTGGTTTACACAAATGTGTGATTCATGGTCTATAGAACAATGATCCCCAAACACACCTCTTTGGTACCAAAATGATTGAGTAATAGTACACCTCAAATTTCATATTGAAAAATTCATGAAACTAGATTTGTAGAAACCATCATATAAACCTAAGCTTAGTATAAAAATAATCTTTTTTTTTTGAAAGAATCACCCATTTAGAAATTAGAATGGTAGTAGTTGGGAATATAAAAAAATAAATTTAAAAGCAAATAATTAAATAAACGCACACATACATTATCGGCCGTCGGGTACCAACCCCAATCATCAACCTTCGCAATTCTTGTACGACGGTTTGGTCAAACAAACATGAAAACATCATTTTCCACAAACACAAACTTGTGTCACATCGATCTATATAGGATATAAGCTTTCACGGGTCCACCGCCCTTCTCTTATACATTTATGAAGGGATGTTTATTAATGATTTAATGATGGCCGCCGGGGAGCCAACCAATCGAGAGTTTTAATTTCATGTTATCAAGGAGAGGCCCGCCGGCCGGCGGTGGAGCTGTCGTCATTTATTATGTCATCAAGAAAATGAATATTTGTTTGAAAACAAGCTAAGGATCTAAATCCTCAGCTCACAGGTTACCTACCCAACCCATTGATGGTTAGAAGGTTTCAAAAGTGAAGAAGCTAGCTAGTTACGTTGATATATGATATATATTTAATATGGATAATATAATGTTATTAGCATATATATTGTTTTGTATGTTATTGATCAGAGATGTGGATTATTCACGTGATGATCGATGAACATTAGTGTGACAGTGGGGCTACCTCTTCATGCTCATTCAACGCATAATTCTTTAATTTGAATTTGAATGGTCTCTCTCAGAACTGTGTGGATTAATTATTATTGCATGGCTTTATTAAAGTAAGGCTTGCCGCCGGCCAGTACGTGTAGTGCTCTGATCTGATCTATTATTGTATTATAGTAAGAGAAAATGAGAGTTAATACTCAAAATAGTCCTTGGTTATAGTAGTTTTTCTCAATTTCGCCCTAAACGATTTTGGTGACCTAATGTAGTCTTAGACTTTTGTGTTTCACTCAATTTAGTCCTCCGTTTGTTATTCCGTCAAATTGGTGTTAAATAAAGGAACAATTCAGTAATCTCAATATTGACATCTCTTTACTTTCAACCTGCGAAGTACGAAATCTCTTTTTCTTGTATGAATTACTCCCAACATTACTCTCAGACCTGCGAATCAAATTGTATATTCGCAGGTTTAGGATTACTTCTGGGAGTAATTCGTAAAAAAAAAAAAAAAAAAAAAAAAAAAAAAAAAAAAAGTGAGATTTCACATTTCGCATGTTTAAGAGTAAAGAGATGACAATATTGAAATTACTAAATTTTAAATGAATAGAATAACAAATATAGGACTAAATTGAATAAAAACATAAAAGTATGAGACTAAATTGAGCAAAAACATAAATCTCTGGGTCTATATTAGGCCACCAAAATTGTTTAGGACGAAATTGAGAAAAATCATTATAGTCGAGGATCATTTTGGTTATTAATTCGAGATAATGATATAGAGACTCACATGGAATAAATCTTATGTTACATCTAATGATTTTATTGATAGAAGAGAAAGATAATAATAAAAATTGTGAGTTACTCTTTATTTTCTAGACGAATCAAAATACATCACGGAAATAGAAAGTAAAAATTGGGGTACATAGCATTTGAAAATATATATATATGTGTAGTATTACTCTATGTGGAATTGTGGATTAATTCTTTTGTTTTTGACTTTCAAGGATTTGTTCCCAGTTTTGGTTCTGAACTCTTCTTGCCTAGTCTTCTTTCCTCATTCAAGATCTGAAATTTGTGGTCTCGAAAGAAGTGACTTGAGTGGGTAGGCCGTAGGGTATATTTCTACTAATTAGATGCTTGTGAATTTAATTCATCCTAACACTCTCTACAGGTTCATTTTATTTGTCTTATTTGGTTAAGACGATTCAAGTTATTTTTAATTTAATTTTTCATAATATTAAGTTTAATATTATTATATAAAACTTATATATTTAGAAATTACAGTACATTTTTTTAAAAAGGATAAAATCACTAAAAAAAAAAAAGTAATGAAAAAAGAGTTGAGTTGACCAATGAATAGTAAACATGACATACAAAATGGAACACGGTGAGTACTTTTTAGGTTGAACTTGTCACACTAAACCTTATTTTTATAAAGTAATATATAATGCAGGTGTTAGTTTATTCTAAAGTTATATATAGGGATGGCAATTTCAATTCGACCCGTGGATATCCACCCGAATCCACCCCGCATGGATCGGATTTTTTTGGGTGATGGTGGGCGGTGGGTCGGGTTGGATTCGGGTTCTATGTACAAGACCCGCCTAGAACCCCACCCGACCCACCATGCGTGTGTGTGTGTGTGTATATATATATATATATATATATATATATATATATATATATATATATATATATATATATATATATATATATATATATATATATATATATAATAGGAAAATAAGTACTACTATGTAGTTATTTATAAAAGTTTATATAATTTCGTGTATCTTTTTACTATTTTTTATATCAAAACTACTAAGTTTATTTTTAAAAATTAACAATTTAGTTATTATATTTAAATATTTCCATTATTTATGTTTTAGTATCACGAATGGATTTTATTTTTTTTATTATGTGTAAATAATTTAAATATCATTTTTTGAAAAACATAATAAGACAATGAGTGGGTACCCGTAGTGGGCACCCGCACCAGGTAGGGGTGGGGATGAGTTCTAAAAAAGTTCACCTGATGCGGGTTGGAGGTGGGGGTGGGTGGAGAAAATATAAGGTGGGTCGGGTGATGGAAGTAGCCCTCCCCGACCCACACCCGACCCATTGTCATCTCTAGTTATATATAACTTTTTTTGTAGTGGTTCGTCGTCTGACTTGATGTTACTACTTAAGGCGACAGTGTGAGGTTCGAATCTCATTGGAAACATATCAGATGATCAAGACCATCAAGGTTGAAACACTTGGCTGCATCCTAATGCCTTAGCAGTTTTACATTCTGTTATGTACAGTTGTTTCTGTTATGGTAGTTAGCTTTCCTTCTTTTTCTTGCTTTCCCTCCAATAGACCAGCAAGTATGTAAAGAGATGGAGAGTACTCCTGAGGCTAATGATTGAAAACAACACTTTCTATCTACCTTCTCTTCTCTTGTTCATTTCTGTGAAATGGTATCAGAGCAAGT